CTAGGTGAAAGAGATATCTCTTTAACGTTTATAGATATCTCTTTTCACGAAAGAGATATCTCTCAAGGAGAAAAAAGATATCTGTCCAAGTGGAAGAGATATCTCTCTAAGTATCAGAGATATCTCTCTAAGTATCAGAGATATCTCTCTAAGTTTAAGAGATATCTCTTTCTCATAGAGATATCTCTTTAAGTTGAGAGATATCTCTATTTTTAAAGAGATATCTCTCTAAAATGAGAGATATCTCTGTAATTATAAGTTAAATTTTATTTTCCGAATAAATAGCAAAAGGGCTTGCCATACAAAAGCTTGAATATCTATCAAATTTACACATTTTATACACCGGTATCAGATGCAGATTTTGTGTAAAAATCTCAGAGAGACAAAGTTGTGCTCTATGTTTTCCGAAGAGATAAGTATCTCAAATTTGACGAAATTGCACCAGAACTGGGAAAATTTAGGAAAATGTCCTACTTCTGCATCCTATTGTAATTGTAAGCATTGAATGCAAATAAGTGCTGGTTTTAATTAAAGCAAGCACCATTTTAAGTTCTTAATTACAAACTATTACAATTTTACGAGTGTTCTGATTTTTTCATCAAATACATGAAATAAGGAACCAGATGTGGCTGTTACTTTATCTTGTCCATTTTCGTATAAAGGAAGCTTCATTTAATTTTTTTTACAAACATATTGCTATCTACAATATATAACAGGAACAAGTGTTTGGACAACACTTTACATATCATTGAATATAGGCTCATGATTCTTTTATTTTACCAACAATTGTCTAGAAATTGATTTTGTTTTATGTAAATTTTCACTATTTGAGATATCATTGATTGAAAATTTGTAGACTAAGCGAATGGTGAAAACGGAATGGAATATAGTGATAAAAAATAATATTCAAGCTCAAAGTCCATTTAGACAATGCAAATTGGGGGCAGAGCAAACATAGACCTCCCAAAACATCAGCGGTGGGATCAAGTATCATGTAGGAATGAGAATTCCCTGCCGACTAGTCACATCCGCCGTGTGCTCCTTGTCATGAAATAACCCGGAAAAATCCGTAGACAATTCTGCGTGTAAATAATGGCCTAACAATTTGTATAAAAAAGTCAGTCAGCATTTGACTTAATTATAATGATAAGTTGTATTTGCCGACAAGGTCATTGTATCGACCATTTGACTTGTGAAATGATAACTTCAAATAAGACTGAACATATGCTTGTTTCATCATCTTGTTTGTCAATTGTTTGCCTCGTTTTAAAAAAAATATTAAAGGTAGAACATGTTCTTGCATATCGAATTGTAAAATAAAAACCCCATATGCAGGTGATAAGTGTATGTACATGTATATTGCTATATAAGTATTGGAAGTTGACAATTGAAAATTTGCAGTCATCATGTGTATAATAAAGTTTTCCTAGTAAAATAATCATGTGACTGACAAGTATATGTACTAGTTTCCATTAACTGACAAGCATGAAAATGATTTTCAGTTCTACTTATATTTGAGATATGCGAGATCAACGAGGATTTCCAGTTCTATTTATAGAAACAAAATTATACAAGAGGCCAGAGGGCTTCAACAGTCATCTGAGAATAACCCTATATGTGGACACTGTTTTCTAAAGGAAAATCACCCTTGAAATGGGCCATTTTGAGGCTTTTTCTGTTGAAAATAGAGAAATGCTTCTTATTAATGACGTCATATTTGCAGAATGGTAATTCTTCATGCCATATTCTTTCCTGATTTATCACAGTCATATACTAAACTAATATTTAAGCCAGTTCAAAAACTTGTTGATGTCATTACATTTTTAGGGCGCAATAAAGCTAAAACCATACTTTTTTCTTTGACAAAAAATGAAAAAATGGTTCTTGAAATATGGTGAATATAAAAATATATGCAGACCACAGAAACTGCCATAGAATACGCTCTTTGGGTCTTTGTCTCAAAAAATCAAAAATCTTTGGACAAAATAAACTTGTAGATGAAAATACATGAATACATGTACATTGCTCAGAGACAAGAATTAAGACAATCAGGAATTACTTAACAGAACAATTGAGAAGATTTTTAAAGGGTTTTTTTTTCTATAAATGGACTAAATATTTATATTTAGGCACTTGATACTAAAAATAGAAATGGGAATCCAACTATTGTCCAAACTAGCTAGTGGTGTCCAGTTACTGTCATTGCTATCTCAAATTTTACAATATACTTCCTAATTATGCAGCTTTGACATCTACAAAGTGCCTGAAAAGTGCAAAAATCTACATTTTCTCGATTATTCCAGGAATCTATTTTTAGACCATTGTTGCTTTAAAAAGAAACAAGAGTACATCCTCAATATTTTAGCAATTATTATAAAAACATGTGTTCATTTTGAAGGCATGTTGTAGAAAGCTTTATATTTGTTAAGATGCTTTCTTTTAAGCTTCCAATTAGCATAAAATTGCCATTTTTCCTAATATTCAGGGACATATCTATATTTAGCCACCTGATGCTAAAAGTAAAAATGGGAATCCCCCTCAACCATTGTCCACACCAGCTAGTGTTATCCAGTTCTTGTCATTAAAATCTCATTTAAACTTCCTAATTATGCAGCAATGACAATTAAAACTCTGCCAAAATTTGATTTTTCACATTTTCTAAAAAATATCTATTTATAGATACATGTTACTAAAAATAGGATCAAAAGCCCACCAATATTTTTTCATGAGATGACACTACTTAATCTCATGTATGATAACAGACATGAGATTTGGAAATTTTAAGCGGACAATTTTACTTATTAAACCTTAAAGATCTCAAAAAATGCCAATTTCCCCATTTTTCAATTTTTCAGAAACCATGTCAGTTTTCATGACCTCTTTCTTTTAGGAGGAATATTTCTAGAATAAACGATTATATGCCCTGTGAACCTTAAAATTTCATGTTATCATATGATCCAACGATTTTTGTTAGAGTGTATTAGATACCGATAAATATTCATTTACATTTCCTCCATTTTCATGTTTTCATTTAGTCAAAAGGGGCCAAAAATGGCCAAATTCAATGGATCCGTCTCCATGGCAACCGAGTGCACGTGTGGAACTTCCGACACCATATTAACTAGTTTTGTACCAAGACACACCTATGGTGAAAATTTCATCAAAATCCGAGACATGTCGTTTCCAAGCCCTATAGTAAATTTGTTGATGCTTACAGAGAATTCGTTTTAAAAGTTATTAGAATATGCTAACTTTTCAAAATTGATTTGGAGGTAGGCGAGAGAAGAATACTATTGTTCGCACTTCTTTCAAAAAGTAAAAAGAAGTCCTCAGCCAGACAGCCCGTTCATAAGAAGGAGCACACGGCGGGTGTGACCGGTCAGCAGGGGATGCTCACTCCTCCATGACACCTGATCCCACCTCTGATGTTTTGGAGGTCCGTGTTTACTATGCTCCTATTTTGTATTGTTTTATGGACTTTGATATTGAATACTGTTCATTTTCTCATATCCTTCTTTCACTGACTTACGACGACAACTGCCAACTGTAACTAATATTCCGACTGCAGGACAAACAAAATGAAATCAGATCGCCAATGTCAAGTTTCCTTACTTATGTACAGGGAATGTTATACCTACCGCTATCACCTGCATAATGTGTTAATGTGTCATAACTAACATGCTTATCAAGAGTATGCTCTCAGTAAGATTGATTTTAAAACTGAGGCAGGCTACTCCCAAATTCATTTTAGGAATTCAATCAATCTCGTCCAAAGCCAACAATTTGTTAATTTAATGGCCATTATTATGATTTTATTAGCAACTATAACCCATCACTATGACTTTTTCTTGGTTGATCAAGTCAAGAATTATATTGCACAAATTGTTTGATCTTTGCTGTTCTGTATTTGACTACAGGATGCTCACTGTACTTTATAACTCAAACAGAATTACAGTAAGTGTGACGGGTATCAACAGGGGATGCTCACTCCTCCTAGGCACCTGAACCCACCTCTTGAATTGTTTATAACCTTTTTACGGATTTATATATATTTTTTTTTTATGAGAACCATCCCTTGTTCGTTTTTAAAACCACTAGAATTCACTAGAATTGTACATAGTAGCTAACTAATCTCTCTTTTTGAAAATAATACTTTAGGTTTTGATGTTGAAATTAAATACGCATTCAATAATAATGTTTAAGCAAAATGATTTTGCAATTCAGTTATACAATATCTTTAAAAGTCGCCAATTACTTTTGTTTCCTTTCTGGTCCTTTACTTTTTATTATTTCTATTCTGTACGTAGATAAGAAAAGAACATACACTATAGACAGAAACACTGGAAATTCACGTAAGTATAATGAACTCTCTTCAAGTGATATTCTTAATTTCTGTATATGTGCATTAATAGCATAAGGATGGTCATTATACTCCCGCTTGAAAAGCAGGGGGTATATTTTAATCGGGATGTCTGTACGTCTATCTGAACGTAGTTCGTTCACGCTTTGTGGTACCCATTTTTATTTTTAACTCCTCTTATACAACTAATTGAAATTTAATTAAACTTTACAGATTCTTGCTACATGGTGCCATTGTGCACCTTTTATTTTACTTTTTGATTTGACACTTTTTAGTGTCTCCCAGAGCAAAACATACATTATGCCACTGTAACAATATGGGAGGCAGGGGCTATCATTGAGTGAGACTAGTGCTATTTGTACCTCTAGTTTCCTTTGATAAAGATAATATTGATTCCTACTATGTAAATTAAAAATAGTTCGGGTAAAACAGTATACAAAACAAATTATGATTGTATTCAGACTGGTATTGGTTTATCATAAGAATAAGAAATATTGTAATTTGTCTCAATACACGTTTTCGCTACAATGTATTAAACCAACCGACTGATAAATTTGTTATTTTGAAAGCTTTTATATTAGTCTAAGTTTTAATTATTTTCTTCATCTATTATTTAATTGTTTAACTAGATGATCACGATTCTCAGTGGAATTCGTGGGATGTTTTTGGATACGCCCTGATAGGAATAGTGATATTTATTATAGTTTGTTGCTGCCTTTGCACAGGAGTAAAGTAAGTATTTGACGTAACAGAAAAAATACTTTTATTACAAAAAGAGTTCCTTTCCTCATAAGGAAAAAATTGAAGGCTAACTTTGACGAAAGTAAATTTTATACACCTTTTTAATTTTTTTTCATCAAAAATGATTTTGTCATTTTCCCCATTGAATATATAATTAAATTATTGTCGTACCCGAATTCTATCCAAGATTTAGAAAATTAAATACAAAATGAAGTATACCTTGTAAGGGTTCAACAATTGTAGTCATTAATTTAAGGGGACCGACTGGGGTTTTATTGTGTGAAAACTACGTGAGAAAAATTCTTTATTTCCATACTATATATAACTTACATATAGACTTCAGTGTACATGTCAAGTTTGAGGAAAATCTACCGTCAAGGGTTTTTTTAGGAGACAGTCTCAAAATACAGGTAAATTTACCATAGGGTTATATCACAGGCCTTGAGATCATTAAGAAAAAAAATTGAGGTGTAAAGTAAAAATATCTTTTTTTTATACACACAATTTTTTTGAAGCGATCCAAAGGCCTGTGGGTTATATAGGAAAGTGACAATTTTTCGCACTTTAAAGCAAGTTATACAAATACTACAATTGGCTTTATACTAAAACCATCATATATGATGAATAATACTATATTGCACATTATATGTAAAAAACAAAAAATTATACCGTATTGTTTCCAGAGGGGATAAAATCTCAAAAAAAAAAAAACAAAACTAACAAATGTTCTAGTTTTTACAGAGTACTATGAGATATGACAAATACAAAGGATTTATACAAAAAAAATAATAAAAATGATGAAGATATTATCAATTTTTTACGTTTTAAATTTTAAGAGCATATATTGATTACTTTTTTCTTTTATAACATTTTTATTGCCCCTTCTTTAAAAGTTTATCGTTATCTTAACGTCATAAATACATCATTACGACGTCAATCTACATATCAGTTGAAAAATCGTTTTTAAAAATCAGTGTTATAAATTTGAAAAATTTGAAACTAATTTTTTCAACCTGTAGTTTATTAATTTTGTTAAATTTTTTTAACTGAGTGAAAAAAATGCTTTTAAAAAGTAAATAAGCTTCATTTTACAATGGCGTAATATTGCGCAGTGGAAACCCCATTCGGACCCTTTAAGACTTTTTATACCCTTTTATTTACAAAAAAGGAAGAAACTAGTGCAAACATGTAGGGGTTCTATAGTACTTGAAAAAAATCAACACGCATATTAACTTGATAGAATTATTTGGGAAATATTTTGACCCATTTTACCTCCTCAAATATCGTTTTATAATTTCCAAAGATGTAGGTCTTGAAAACAAATTACAATTATCATCATATTAAAGTTGCAATATTTAAATTTGTATCCATTGGACCAAAAAGAGATTGGGAACAAACATTACAAATGAGTTTCATTTTTGAAGGTTATATTATGAAAAGTATTTGAATTTATCTTGAGATTTCCTTTAACAAGATATAAGAATCGACAAGAAACATCCCAGACACCAGCTACTCGTAGAGATCCTATGTGGAGCACGGAGTCAAGTGGTGGTAGTCAAACTTACAACCTCAATAGGAACATAGCATACTCAGTCTCTGATACAGGTAAGGTTACGCTGGTGCTAATGAGTTCACTTAAAGCTGAATACGATTCGTAAAAAGAATGTGTCCGCCATTTTCGATCGGACTCTCGCTATATCTGAGGACCCCTTTATAAAGGGCCTGACTTAGTCAATCTTCAATGAATCGGTCGACACCGGTGTAGACGGATGCACATGTATATGTATGCTATACAGCACTTGGTAGCGAAAAAATGACTGTAATACATCTAATGCTGGAAAGTAAAATACCATAGATACATGCAACAGTTGTACAGGTCAGTGCAGTATACAAACAAAATAAAAAGTAAACAAAGGTAATGCAATATATCCAGCACAAACATAAGAAACCATTTTACGCCGATACCCCTGACAAGAAAGCTGGTGTAACAAATGCAATGCGAAGAGTACACCCTTGTGTTGATAAGCAGGTAAGCAGGTAAATAATAATAATATAGAAAATGACCTGCAGAGTGTATGCTTATTTACGAGTCATGATCAGCTTTAAGTTGGATATAGTGTTAAACTATGATATGAAGTTCCAAAGGGAAAGGTTACATAAGAAACTTAGAAAAAAGGAGTCTGTTATTCATAAATTATTCCACGTTTCCAACTATCGTTGATGTCCCTGGCATACCCGATGCAACTTACTAAATAATGGTTCGTTATATATCTTCAAGACTCTCTTAAAGAGAATAAACCTGTAAAATTATATTCAGTTTGAAATATTACCTAAATAATTGAACAGAAAGTATTGGTTTTTAAAATCGTCTTTTCCAGATATGATGCACAGCCACAATGTTCAATCTTCCCCATTTGATCCTCATTCTGGAAGTGCACCATTTTCCGAACCACCGCCATCGTACGAATCTATAATGTCTAGGGATAACATTGGTATTCCCAAAGCCTGCAATATACAGAAGTCATCAGATAATCAGTAGATTGTGAAATACTCAGGGTATACAAATTGTTCAACAATGAATAGCGTTTGAAATTGACATATTGTTAAAAGAAAAATTATGTTTGAACAACAAGGTGCATGTATTCGTTTTGATTAAATCAATAGTAAGGAGCTAAACTAGAGACTGATGCAGTGAATTGGAGTATGCATCCATTTCATATATTGATCTCATAGACTTTTTATTAAAGAATACATGTTTATGTTTATACAAAATTTCTACCAGTCAATAAATCTAAAATAACAAATGCTTTTTAGTTTTGTTTTTGATTGAGATGTTTTAGTGTAATGCAGATAATATAAAAACAAAAAGGTTAAACATGAACTTCTTAAAAATTATCTCCTTGCCAATCTTTCCACGTGAATATGCATGTCATTTCCTTGAAATGTCATAAACATCAATTATCATTTGATAAATTAAACATTTTCGATTTTCCCCATCATATTTCTTTAATTTGCAAAATAGGAACAGTGTTTCCCGAAAAAAGGTTCAATTTAAATTTTATTCAGATGAAAAGCTTCACCCTCTTTCAAGGGGACATGATTAAGAAATGTGACATATGTAGGTGTATTTATGTAAAATATTCCCATGAAACATTTGGCAAAAAAGAAAGAATTGTTAATTATAACTGCTTATAGATCTTAGTCCGCAAGAGACAACACGGTAGGACATATAACAGTGCCCAGTATGAACTTTGTACGACATTACACCACAACAATTTGTCAAAATATTCTAATTAAATCTCTAAAAAATACAGTTACATTCAAACTACATGTAACATTGTTTATAAATATGTTGTCCACTGATGGAAGGGAAATTGTGAGTTGTTGATCTTCGTCCATGAGACAGCAATGGATTTGTAGTTCTAAGCTGTTGGTATAAAACAGACTAAAATATGCAAGCAACATGATGGGAAGACGCCTGTATATACAATAATGCTAAAACATGGTTTGAAGACACTAGGGATTACCAAGCGATATACAAAGATTGAAATATGGTAATGGTTTGCTTGATAATGATGAAGGAATACTACTGATGATTGCTGCTGACCGACAAGTGAATGAAGTAGGATAGATGCTAGTGATGGATTCTGGTGTTGCTTCCGTGTGTGTCAAGAATACAGTAGGTCCACAGCTGGAAAAGAGGACAAACTTTACCTTAATTCCAGGACTGGTAAGGACTTTTTCTGATAATTTTTCAGATAGCAATAGGCCCTGGAAATCTTTTGTTGATACAACATCAATAATGGTTTTCCAGATAAAGAACTGTATAAGAAAAGGTAATATTATTATTTTTTGGTCTGTGCATCATGAATTCTTTTCATCATACCCTTTACTTTTTTCTCAGAGATGCTGTCATTTTGTTCAGAAAATCCCATATGATTTGTCTGTGCTGCCACAATTCTTTACCAGAAAATCCTGAATTTGCCTTTGGATCAAGTCAGATTGGTTTCCAGGGAATCCCATCAGAAATGCAGAAGATTTTTTGGTTATTATTACAATTGATGGCTGAAAAATTGCCGACTCGACGTTAAACAATATTCTATCAATCAATCAACAATTGTTGGTTGTTGAATCACCCGACCATTTAAATTTGATCCCCGCAAAAATGCAAAGAATATTTTGATGATTTTTTTAATTAATGTTTTTCTCAGTTCATATATCGACTGGTAGCTTTTAAACAAATAGCCCATGGGCCATAAAGATCACCGAATCGCCTTGCTAACTGTGTACCCTTATATAAACAAGATGCATATAGACACCACAATGCTGATCTAACTAAAGTCAAATTTTGATCTAGCGGATTCTCGTCCAAAGATTTATTCACTCTATATTCCTTTGTACGGATTTGATCAACTACTGTGGTTCTAGCCAATTCCATGGGTTTTTTTTTTTTGCAATTGACTCTATATACATGTATTTAAAAAAAAAACTTGCACAAAACTTTGCTTGTCTACTATGGTCCCGGCCTTTCTTTCGGGTCAGGATTTAAACAAATCAAAATCTATTCTATCCGAGGATGGTTCTACATTAGCATGACTTATCATAAAGGATATGGAGATAACGAACAATATTCAATATCAAAGTCCATAAAACCATACAAAACAGGAGCAGAGCAAACACGGACCTCCAAAACATCAGAGGTGGGATCAGGTACCATCATACTGTTTTTATTCACGAAAAATCTTTGTTTTTATCCTTTGTACCTCAATGTAAAAATAAATTGACTACATGCCCATTGTAGTGCCTTCGGACCATGTTGGTCATATTTGAGCGAACTAGAATCTAATCTATATGAAGAGTCTTCCATATAAATATGACTAATTTTTTTCCATGCCCCAGTAATAGACGATTCGGAGTTCATAGTTTCTTGAGAAGAGGATTTTAAAGGAGTCTTATAGTTTTCTATTATTCATATATATTTCTGTGTAAATTTTGATCACCCATAGCGTACCACTGGGGATCATGATTTGAAAAAACCTACATCTAAACTTTGTAACGAAGCATACGTTTCAACTTTTCTGCATGGTCCAGTTGTTCTTAAGAAAATGATTTTTTTAAATGACATAATACTTAACTTAATCGTCATCATTTAACCTTGAAGAGCCAATTGCACTTCATTTGAACAAACCGAATCCCTTTTATCTAATCATATTTTGTTTGATATCATACATACTGTTTCCCTTGAAAATGTTACGTTGCGTCCCTCTCTAGCAAAATGTCCAAAAACGGCTGGGTATGTCTCAAATTCTTGCTGGGATCGGAAACACAAGCTAAAATTTAAAAGATACTGACGTCATATTTATTTGTTCTGAATTTTATGGCGTGAAAAAGGAGATGTTGAATTACATATATTAAAAGCTAAGAATACAAAGGAGCAATGAGTAAATTCACCGCCATAGATAGGTACATACAAATAGACAATCACTGACAAGCAAGCTTTTTATATGAAAGGTTCGTTCTTTAAAGTTAAGAAAATGCAAATGAAAAGTAGGTACATCGTCGTAAGTACGTTTTATTTTTAAATTTTATAATCTACCAAATTGATTTAAATTTGTATCAGTTCATGCAGATCTAAATCAGCTATGGAAGCTGATATATGAAGTCATGAATGTCGCATATGCTAAAACTTGAATGTAAATGTGTACACATGTAATAAATACTATATTTAGCGTATGTTCATGCGTTTTTTGTTTGTTTGTTTTTTTTTTGTCAGTGTGGTAGTTCATATCTTAACCGCTATCCTTAGCTTTTTAAATCTTACATTAAAAATAATAAAATATGGATGAACGTTTTTAGTTTCTTAGTAAAATTCTTAAAGGATTTTTCTCTTTTTTCAGCCTATCGTTAACTGGACAAGGCGAAAACAATCATCAGAAAGGCCCGCGACACCAGGCGTCTGGAACACTGAGTCAAGCATAGGAAATCACTCCTTTAATGACACATAAACCTGGCCTTTTTATCATCAGGTAATAAAAATGCAATTATTCCCCTCTCTCCCAGTGATTTATACGGCTGAATAGTTCCTAGAAAATATCATTAATTATTGTCAGAAGCAAAGCATATATGATAATGTTCGGTGTTAACACTGTATCAGAGAATTTATAATATAGAGTGAAGCAAAAATGATAAAATGATGTTCGTCTTAAACTCTTTTGAAAGTGGATGCACTTATTTGTCTTTCTATTCACCATACACGAGTAGGAATTATTTTAGACATCGGGGGATACACCGCTGATTTGTAACTATAATTTATTTTCCACCGACCCCCCCCCCCCCCCCCCCCCCCCCGATTCGCCAAATGGCCTCAGTCACCGCCCGGTTACTATAGATGTTCCGCCGGCAACCACGCAATTTTATTTAAAAAAAACGCATTGGTTTCTCATTGTATACCCCATCGCTAGATAATGAGACTGATGCTTTCGGCATGTTGACGATTGAAAAGTTTGTTATCACGTCTATCATAGAGCTTGGTTGTTAGGTTACCATTAACGCCTGTTTCAACTTAAATATCCAATAGATGTGTCACATTTTTTGGTATCTCTTATCTCATTTTAACCTGAATGCATTTTAACGACATAAGAATGGAAAATCCGTCGTTGATATATCTTAGTGTCGAGTTGAAGGCCACAGCAAGTGTTTTCGTCTTTTCATGTGTAAGATTTTGGATATATTCTGCTTCATATAAATACGGAAATAAATATGCTAATAACGGGGCGCATTTAACACCATGGGAATTCTATTCGGTTGTTATAAGACCAGTTCTCCAAAAACCCCTTAGATATCGTCAATCAGAAACTCAAGCATCTTTTTTATGTCAACATGGTCAACGTCAGAGTGCTTGTATTTAAAATCAGAATATGTTTTAACGAAATAATTGCAAATATATTGTTCAATGATTTTTGAATTTTTCATTGTATATAAAAATATTTAAGATTAAAAAATGTAATAATAATGAATAGGTATGGAATATATTGTCAATCATTGAATATTTCATCACAAATAATATAAATTTGAAATAACTTTTTTTTTTCTTTTTTTTTTTTTTTAAGATTATGCATAAGTATTTTTCAAAATTGGTCGGTCAATGATTGTCTCTTTCAAAATCAATTTTAAGAGGAACAGCTGATCAGATTAAACATGATATTTGACCAGATTAATACCCACTGGACTCAGGGTAAGATTAACAGTGTACAGTATTCTGACTTGTTAGACATTTAGACCTTACGTATTCGGCGTCCCCACTAGTCCCGGGACAACTAGCAGGAAACTATATGCAATGTACAATATATCTTCAAAACTGAAAATTTAACTCAAGCAAATGCCAAATTAAAAATAATGACAGTAGGCACAAAGACAATTATTTTGATACTCACTATGATAAAAAATAATTTAAATTGAGGATGTTCTAAAACAAATGTAAGCGTACACTGAAATTGGAACTGTTTCGCAGCGATTGTCACTAATTTAGACAAAAAGACATAAAAATATGCAGTTAATTGAAGATAACTACAATCTACTTTTTCTATCTTTCTTTTACGGGGATATTTTTGTGTTATATATATATTGATTTTCAATCAATTCATGCGTATAAATCTGCGAATAACGGAGTGAGAAATCATTCCAAAAATCAAAAAGATGTTTCATACCAAATTACTTACACTATATAAAAACTTTTTTTAGAATCTAAAAATACAATCATTTATGTTTTTGACTAATAAATCAATATAGGAATAAAGAAACGTATATTCATTTAAATACTTTTCCAAGTCTAAACAGATTTTGTGAGAAATAAATGTTTTTTTCTCTCATATATCAACAGCCTAGCAAATAAAAGGTTCGCTCTTGTGGGTTCGACTCCTGTCGGGAACGTATTATTTAGTTACAATTTTCTTTCTTAACATTATTTTTGCCAAAATCAACAAATATGTGAACTCGAAATAAATTACGAGGGTTGATCCAAAAGTAATGTCACAGTGTCCATATCTTTTATATTTGGCGTCATATCATCAAATATTATATACCAAAAGATGCACAAATATAAATCTAATTAAACTTTGATTTTTCATTCAATAATGTTTAACTGAATTTATTTTATAGATGTTTAAAACATATAAGATAGGGGGTGTCGCCGCGTCAAAACCAAACGTCACAAATTAAAGTGTACTTTTTTTAAGTATAAAAAAGACAAACACTTAAAAGGCATCTTTTAAAAGCGCCTAAACGTAAAATACTTTAAAAGACAAAAATTTACATCATTTTCAAGTCTTAAATTGAAAATTATATGACATCACTGCTATTTTTTTTATGAAAAACATCGTTGATTTATTCCGGTGCATTGAAAAAAGAAATATCAAAATGGACAAAAAAGCCAAAACAAACTGTAATGCATTTTTGCTTCAAACTGGAGAAATCGCCAGTAGAGACAGTTACGTTGATTCACCAGACTTTCGGAGGAAAGAATGTAAATAAGAGACTTGTTTAGATGGTTTCAGCGATTTTCGGTGGGTGATGGGTCATTAAATGCTCAGCAGACAAGAAAACCGAAAGATGGGAGGGCGGACGGAAATGTTCAATGGTGCGTGACGTTGTTGTCCAAAAAAACAGACGGATAGAGCGATATGTGAAATTTTAAGTTGGTCTTTTACTACTGTTCAATGAATTTTGACAGAATTAATTATGAAAAGAGTGAGTGTACGATGGGTACTAAGGGTAAGAAAGTGAAATTTGTGAACGTGTTCGTGGATCTGAAATCTCAAACATTTTTTTTAATGAAACGAAGGGAATCGTTTAAATATATGACGGCGCGTATCCGTCATATGACGTTATTTAGGTGCGGCGACTAACATAATCGCACGTTGTGTAAAATCCAATATATTTTGAAAAGTAAAAATCATGGTTGAATTGAAATTTACAGGTCTGATTTGAAATAAATGTAGATTTCGTCATTATTAATTTTGTTGTTTTACGTCGACGGATAGCGATTTTATCGAAGTTGTGACATTACTTTTGGATCAACCCTCGTACTTTTGAGAAATAACCATTATAATTTTTTTAACATTAAAAAGTTGTACTGACTGCGTATAGTGACTTAATGGCGAGTTGGTGGCAGTTTAATAAAACTCGGACATTACGTACCTATACGTTTGGCTTAATGGTGTCTAATAGTGACTTAATATTCATCTAGAAGCTACTATAACGCACGTAAATGACACCATAAAGCTACATTCAATTCCTCCTTTTTTGCATGTCAAAGTTTCAAAAAAAAATTTTCTCTGGTTTCCCACTATCTGTTTTTAGAAAACGATGCTACGTGCATTATGTATTTGTTGCTTTGAATAAACAGATAAGACATTCAAAGTGCAGTTTTGTGTCGACGTCGTGCACCCTTTATACCTGTAATTACATAGTGCTATCGATTTTTCTACCTGAACTGATATTTTACGTATATTTAATATTTGATAAACTAAGGAAAGGGGGAACTTTATACATTCACTAACTGTTCTCAAGAGCATCATGACTTTTATCGGAACCAAAAATCACACTCTTAATGGACCATTGTTATTCTTATATCTAATCCTACTAACCAAAGCAGGTTTGTTACAGATTTTATTTTTTTTTTTACTTTTTCACTTTTTAAAAGTTTACATTTAAAACTGAAAAACTACTTTCCATTATGTATTAAAACGCGAGAGAGAGAGAGAGAGAGAGAGAGAGAGAGAGAGAGAGAGAGAGAGAGAGAGAGAGATTCTGATGAAAAGTAAACAGACCTTTTGAAATGAATTATCAAAAATATTTTGCTTAAGTGAATGTGATTTTGTTTCTAAGAATCTCAACATTGTTATAAATAATGAAAATAGTAAAATTATGGTAACAATAATACTAAAGATTGTATCTATTTTCCTGTTATTTCCTCATTAAGTTGATGCATTCAATAGAGGATTCGGGGTGTATATATATATATATATATATATATATATATATATATATATATATATATATATATATATATATATATATATATATATATATATATATATATATATATATATATATTTCTGGCCCGTCCATTTGTCTGTCCGGTCGTCCGCAAAAACTAAAAACTTTACAATAAATTTTAATCATAAGAGGTTTGAAAGTAGTTTTCATATTTCCTTGTGACAAGACATGTCTTTGGGTACCAACATAAAGAAAGGTACAATTAGCTTCTCATGAGGCCTATTTTCAGAGGTTTGAATTTTTTGCACCAATACTCTCTAGGACATGGGCTTTTTATATACTAGTATAGTAATATTATCTTTGTATCACTGATAGTTTTTGAGATATGAGGTAAGAAAGTTAGCATGCACAATTCTGACGCCGTCATTCTAGATTACAATGAAAGCTTTTGTTCTCCAATATTCATCCAACAAAGTAATGCAAAACTTCTTTTTAAAATTGATATCTGAGCTGACAATATACAATTATGCAGTTTTTGAAACAATATGATCATTATTTGGCTTCCCGGGGTGTTTAATGTTCACCGAGCCCAAAGTACGAGGTAAATATTGTTATCATATCAAAAGTTGTCAAACATCATTTTGACTAAAGAAAAGCTCGCAGCATTGTTTTTCATGTGGTTCAATGATTATAAACTATATTGTTTGCAAATCGTGTCATCTTTTTTGGTTGTCTAATGTCTGCTGAAGTTCTCACCAACCCAGTTAGAGGTGCAGGGATACGTTTTACAAAAGAACTTGCAACTAAGTTTAAAAACTTTAGGTGATTGCAAAATATTATTGATTGTATTTCTAATTGCCTGCATAAATACATCTTTCTAAATTCTTTTTAAAAAGACTAAAACCTTTCCTCATATATAGAAAAAAGAAAGTTTTTGCATAACATTTTGGTCTTAGTTGGAAGTTCTTTTGTAAAACGCACCCCAGGATGTTATCAAACACCCAATCATACCATCTGGAAGTTTTCAATATATTGTTAGTTCATTCGGATAGCTAGCGATCATTCTATCATGAGTTAATGAGATAGTTAAATGAAATCGGTCTTTTTAATGAACAAGATATACAAGCATACAAACAGTGACTTCCGTACCAAACAATCCTTCATCTCTTCTGGTCCAGTGGTTCTTGAGACATCATTCATTGTTCACTAAATCATAATTATCTCCCCTTGAAAGAGGATGTGACACTTCAACTGAACAAACTTGAATTCCATACATGGTAAGTTTGGTTGAAATTGACCAAGTGATTCTTGAGAAGATGAAAATGTACAAGTTTACAACAACAACGATGGACACATTTTGATAAGAAAAACTCACTTGGTGGGCTAGAAATATTGTAAAAATCAATTAATACACTGGTATATTGAAGACAATGCAAATTCACTTATTTCTTTTATTTTTTACCAGCCACATGTATATGATAACACTACCCAATACATGGTGAACATTACAATTGAATATCCATCTTCACATGTAAAGCCTAAACAAAATATCTTGTATACATTGATTAGATTTCAGGAAAAATCATTTTTAAAACAGGTAAGTGTACAGATAAATACAGTGTATTTAATATCTGGAGTTACTGTGTTACTGTATATAATTCAAATTAAGCACTGATTAAATAAAACTTTCATTAACAGACCAATACATTTTAGATACATGTGAATCATAAAAAGAACAGAGAGGCTGATCCTTCATATTATCATAATATATGTACTGGAAAATGTGTGTATAGAGAATAGAATGTAAAATAATAATTTTTAGGCCTTAAAAATTTTGAAATTTATTATGCAGTGTTGACTGAATAACAGCCTGTGATTCATTTTCACTCCTCTTCTGTTAAGAAACATCTTTCGTCATTTTCCTCTTCACTCTCTGATTCATCAATCGGAAGTGCAGAAGCATCTTCAACAAAACCACACCAATCACGCACACCACCGGCACCACTTCCCTCATGACAAAATCTGCTTGCTCCTTTTTATCTTATATCTGTCTTGTTGTGTTGTTCTTTTAAAACTTAGGCATTCTAGAAGTATAAATATATATTGGGGTATACATAAATATATATATAAGGTCATTAATAAATACAAACAATGAATATTGTACAAGTATGAAAATGTAAAATGACATATGAACACTATATGTACTAATGAAAGATCTTATTTAGAAAATTTTCAGTCAGTCAACCACTTTATCAGTTATATAATATTTAAATAGTTAATTACATGCATAATGACTTGAGTATTCAATTCAAACATCCAAATCAAATCTTCCAAGTGCTGCATACATAAGATAATTCCTGGAATTCATGCCAACTTTCCTGATTTAGGCGGGATCCTCCCGATTTTACCCTTTCATCCCGCCTTCCCGATCGGGAGACAAAAATTGCCCTAATTTCCCGATTTGAAAAAAAAAATCACTTTAAAATTTCAGATTTTAAAAGTTTCCCTACCGCTGAATTTTGACAATCGGGATAACAATGTCAGAATTGTATATTCAATGCACACAGATAAGTTTCATTGTTTATCTAACCAGGTGTTCATTACTAAATAGCCACAGGAAATCACTTCACGCATGAACGCACGCAGTTGTCCAGATAAGAGTAGCTTATAGCTTGGGGCAATTAGGGGATTATCTTGTCAGTTTTAAGGGGTATGCAAGGTGAAACACATAGATTAACGTGATAACTGTTAGTCGTTTTATTAAAAACATAAATTAAAGACAATAAAATACTAATTAAACCATAAAATCGGAATCCAAAGAGATCGTTTTTTGAAAACGAAAGTAGAAAACTACAAAGCATAGCTGATGATTTTATCTACCTATAATGAAAAATATTTCTAAGTTGCCAATTAAAATATTATGCAAAAATTAAGATGAAACAATCAAGTGTATTTCAATTATAATTTCTTTTCCCTCCCTTCTCCCAAAAGTAATGTGCATGACTTAAGGAAATACCATGCACATGGCACCATCAACCCTGACAAATTTCATGACTGTAAAAAAAAAATAATTCTCTTTTAGATAGGTGGTATAAATTTCTGTAAATTTATCGCAAATCTTGCCTGAAAGTATTACACTGCGACAGAAATAGCATTGCCTTGAGTATTGACACTATTGGATCTGACAATTGAACAATTTGAATCATGCCGGTTTCATTCTATAAAACAAGCGTCTTAATTGGTTTATTAGGACCCGCCCAGTCTCGTGCAGTATCCTTTGCCTATTTAAGTTGGAAAGCGTCCAACGGCCTTGTGATTGTCGAAAACAGATGGTGACTTTTTGAACCAAAAACACAAACAAACTATGAAATCACTTTTTTAGCATGTGATATATTCCTTTCACAGACTGTACATGTTTAAAGCGTTTCAATGACACACCTATTTTCATTTTATTGTACATGTAATTCTGTCGATTTTCTATTCACTGCATTTTTCATTTTCGGTGTTGCACCGCGTACTAAACGTAAGCATATACCCAGCTATATGTAATACCCGGAGCACCTGATGAATATATATATATATTCATATGTGGTAAACCATCAGATTTATTCAAAAGTTTACTGTTAAGTCTGTTTTGATGTCACGACTGTCAAAAATACAATGTTACAAATGTGTGTGTGCTACTGTTATTTTAATGGTCGTCATGGCAATATCAAAACATGTCATCAGAAAAAAGTCAAAATCCTTGTGTGTTTTTTTTTCATGCAGTGCACTTTTTACTGTATTATGGCTAATATTATTCATATGTTCACTAAAAAATAATTAATATCACTAATACATTTTCCAAATTTAAGTACGTTTAATTTCATTGATGTACTGAAGAAAAAACAGGAAAATGGCCCTGTTTTTCAATTGCAAAAATATGCCCGTGGTGCATCGTGTATCATTTTAAGTTAACTTCTGCCAGTCCTGTATCGGATTTTATTTGAAGAAATCAAGATCATTATACAGGTTACCCGTACTCACAATAATTTAATAAGGTATTACATAGGGCCACTATATACTTCGCTCAGTAAGTAGAGGCCTACCACTTGTTTACAGCTGTTTCCATGGGCCTATAGAAAAGCACCCATCAGATTCTTTGTTGGATTTCGAAATTGTATTTCAGTCAGATTCATCAGTGTCGTCACTTAACGCAATAGTTTATCGGTCCAAGTGTTTACTTTGAAGCAAGATTTGCGATAATATCTAATTAGAATTTCTATTATATATAAAAAAAATCTCAAAAATATGTCCAGAAACAGCAGAAACAGGACTTTACAGTATCAAAACCTCATATTTTTTAGCCTTTGAAAAAATGAGTTAAAAGTTGTAAAATTTTCAATTTTTCACTAAATTATGTGTTCTGGTAAAAAAAATGTTGTTTACATATGTAACTAAATACCCCTTCTTAAATGAAAGAGGCACCTATTTTAGTAGAAATATTTAAATTTTGGAAAGAAAAACATTATTTTTTGTGTTAAATTAATTCTTAAGTTGTATTGATAAATAATATCAATATTATAAATTTAAAAAAAAGATCATTTCATAATCATTTAATTTCACGACAAAATGTCGCGAATTTAAAGCTTTGAAAATTGTCGTCACGCGCTAAATCCCCCATGGGAATTTTCAAATGTTGGCATGTATGATTCCATTTTCTTATGAATTTTTTTTTATCATACCTGTGTTTGCTGCAATTTCATCATGATCACCATGGAAATAAAATCCCAACCTCTAAACATTTCATGGTAACACAGGAACATGATTTCTGTAAAAAATAATATATTTGATTTTATTAATTGTCCACTTATAAAAAGGGCTAAAAAGTGGAGCCCAACAAAAATGTGAAAAATTAACGGGAGGGTAAAACAGACAATCAGACAAACATAAGAAAAAAAAACAAATGACTAGAAAATCTCACTTCATTCTTTTGTTCAGGTGAACTAAAACATGTATCACAAATTATCTGGTGTAATAACAATTTAACATTGTTTATCAAAAACTCTACTGATTTTTCACTGCATATATAAAAATAAGATTGTTACATGTAAATGTGATTAATGTACCTCTATACTGATTTTTCCCTATATAAAAATTAGATAGTAAAATGTGAATAATTCCCTAGAAATCACTGTGAATGGACTAATTCCCCATGCATTTATCATATGAACTAATCCCTTATTCAGAAGCTAATTACTGGTTATTCGTAATCCTCTACATTTTACTTTTGTATCAGTATAATACGTAAATGGACTAATCCCCGTACGTTAGTCATGTGAGCTTATCCCCACACCGAAAGCCCATTCCTCGTCAATTGTAACCCTTTATTTTTTTTTTTTTTACTTTTGTATCGGAATAATAAAACAGTTAAAAAAGTATATCACTGAGGGAGTTAGCAAGATTCCATTTCCCCCTCGACCAGGACTATATCTTGTGTGTTAGTCCAGTGAGCTAATCCTTGCTTCAAAACTAAATCTGAGTTAGGCCTTTATAATATCCTTAATCCTCCTGGATTTCTTTTCACTTTTGTATTGGAATACAAAATTGTAATTGATTTTGGAATAATAAAAAAGTTAAAAAGTATATCGAGGAAATATTATAAAGATCGGAGTTCTCCATGACCAGGACTATTTCCTTTAATTGGATGCATCTCGAGAAATACTAGTAGTCCTGCTCTTGAAGATGTGGAATCTTCCTAACCCCTCATACCTAGCAGAAACATGCCACATATGCCTTAAATACTGAGTGTTTGTTTGTACCTACCTGGCTGATGTCATAGTTTAACTTTGCAGGATTGTGAGAAATTTTTATAAAAAATACATCACTGGACAAATATTTCCATAATATTTCCAAATACATAAACTCTCTTTGGTTCAGAATGTTTCAATTTAAGGGGACATACTGACAAATCTTCATAAAGTACCCTAACCCACCCCTCCCCCAATCAATCGCCCGTACTCGGGATTAATAAAGCTCACAGACTTGAATGACATTTGACAATTATCATTTTTATATACATTTAATTTCCGATAACTGATTCTCGAGGGCATTTTGCTAAATACATCGATGTTTACAAATCGACACATGCTTGACATAGCACAGAATGCACTTAGCGCTTCATGCGTTTAGATATTTGACTGCCAGAGTTAAGTAATAAGCTGATGCAATGATAATTCATATTTTTTAATTGTTTTCTTTTAATGAAACCCCTCACATGCCAAAACATCAACAGATAAAAGGATGGGTTTGAGTCAGAGGAATCTCGGACTAGGACTAGTAGATCAACATGTAGGCATATGATATCGAGATATTGTAATGTCAATCCATCCTTACCTAATACAATCACATATTGATAGCCGGAGAGCAGTAGTCGAGCTGAGTTTACCGACAGTCTTTACAATGTTACACAGTCACCTAATCACATCATTTGTAGTCTACATTCACATTTTGAACAACACTTGTCGAACTTGGCCTTGGGTTCTCGTCAAGCTAGAACTTTTTGTCCAGAAACCGCCGAACGAAGTTAAAAAATCCGAATTATAAAAATTAAATATACATCTAAATATATTTTTTAGAATTTAAATTATTGTTACATATGTACTTTTGGATATAAGACAACGTGCAGGTATCTTTGTTACATATTTTAGTGATTTTTCATTAAAAGTATAGGCCATGGGAATATTCCGGAAATGTAAAGTGTTTAAATTTAACTATGAGCACACGCAACGCGATTGACGAAATAGGTTTTTTTTCGACTAGTCATAGTAATTGCACTGATATATACAAATATTATTCATCGAGTTGCATGTGCTCATATAAAAATATTAACAAATGTGCATTAAAATTCTTAGTTTTTTGCCAAAAACTGAAATCCGGGTAAAGTTTGGAATCTATAATTCTGATATGTGACGTTTTGGCGCTATTTCCTTTGCATGTTTCAAGTAAGGGGGTTGACTCAAAATAACTTCGCGGGGTAATGACAGATTAGCTGCTACTTCATTTTTCTTAATTTTCTTAGGCCAAATGTATATACAAAGTGTATTTTGTTCTTTATTTGACCACTTGACCTAGGAGTGTGACCCCATTTTCTAAAATTATATAAATATACATTAAATACATGACCTTTAGTCTTGATCTAAGAGATCAAGTTTTACGGTAAAGTATTTCTGAAAAAACTTAACCTTAACAGTACCGAACATTAACAACGTTTTGAATTTTCCACATGTTTCTTTCTTGCGGGAAGGCACTCTTCTGAGTACCTTTAAGCTTTTTATAGTGATTATTATACCTCATATAAATAATCACTAGTTAATTATATACTTGGTTACTTTTTAACTTGACCTTACTAGATGACTATTGTGCACTTAAATCTGAAGCATTGACCATGATTGAGACTTGGTCTCATCCGTGTGCTTGGATTCTCGTTTATCTTGTACTACACATTTATTTTATTATTTTTTTTTATTAAAAGCATATGCAATATACAACATAGTGGATATAAATTGTAACATACATCACAATTAATGTTTTTTATGTTCATATCAGAGTAGTTATATTACTTCTATAGAGAAGAAAAGAAAAATATATAAATATATCATACGTGTCATAGGTATATAACAAGCATTTTGTTTTCTTTTATAACATTCACAAATTTATCTCTTCAGTAGTTATATTACTTTTATAGAGAAGGAAAGAAAAATATATAAATATATCATACGTATCATAGGTATATAACAAGCATTTTGTTTTCTTTTATAACATTCACAAATTTATCTGTTCAATTTAATGCAATTATTCTAAGAGTGTATAAACATAGAATGTATAATACATAGGGAGAAATAAATAAATATTGAATCCAGGTAGCAAAAGGAGTCCTATTCAACACCAGCACTGTCCATAATGAGAACCCCTAGCTACCACACATGAAGACTGGTTTCTTCATGTGTTGGGTATGTCTACACCATAATTTTTTTTTCATAAACAATTTGCTACGTCAGTGTACATATTGTTTCTTATTTTACCAGTTTTTTCACAATAGAATTTTGTAAAAAAAGCCAATTTTTAACATAAGATTTCAAATTTACTTCTGACATTCTTTCATTATTGAATCGACTCTTCATTTTATATTTATAGATTGTAAAACAAATAAATGAGATAAGATTATTCAAAATACATGTTTTCTCTGATAAATCACTAAAAAATCCCAACATAATACGTTTCCATGAAACATTAAATTTTAGAAATATACTGATTTTCCTCCACAAATATGTTGTAATTGTACAAGAAAACTAGATGCTATCATGAGACAGTAATACCCGCACTATGGTGTTTGCCTCTAAATACACACTCCTTCATATTGGACTTTCCAAGGAAGAAGTCAAAATAATTCCATAATTATCACCGTACATGTATTCGTCAAAGAAGAAGGTATGGTTTCCATACAAATTTTGCCCTGTGATTTTCTAAAAAATGAAACTGGTGTGAAAGTTGAAAACTCATGCTTTTTTAAATAATTGAAATTCAATGCAGAAAATTCATACAAGTCGTTTTTCTCACATGTGTTTTTAAATGCTTATTATGACGTCATAAACATGTGCATTTTCCCGTATTTTCTTAAAAAGTTGCAGAAGACACCAATTTTCAATGGAATTTCCTTTCAGATAACATTGTCCACAGGCATCGCCCACAAAGATCTTGAGATATGTGATTTGTTATTGAATTTTGCACAAAATATCAAAAAATTAACGTGGGCGACGGCTGTGGACACTGTTTTCTAAAGGAAAATCACCCTTGAAATGTGCCATTTTGAGGCTTTTTCTGTTGAAAATAGAGAAATGCTTCACATTTATGACGTCATATTTGCAGGATGGTAAACCTTCATGCCAGATTCTTTCCTGAGTTATCAGAGTCATTTATTTAACTAAAATTTAAGCCAGTTTCAAAACATTTTGATGTCATTACATTTTTAGGGCGCAATAAAGCTAAAATCATACCTTCTTCTTGAACATAAAATTTTCAGGTGACCATATGATCTATGAGCCTCACATATGTATTTTGAATACTTAATTCATTACCAGTCTGAAATAACAGAATTTAATTAATGATTGAAGTAAATTACTTAATTAGATTCAGATAAATATTTTGCCCATAATTTGGAACTTTTTAAATTTACTTTCTCAACGACATATTATTTTAGTACAAAGCGTTTTTGATGAATTTATCAAAATGTGCAAACTGATTTTAGTACTTGGTCGGGTAAAAAACCCATTGAAAATACAACCCGATTAATTTGTCAATGCCTATCTCTCTCTCTCTCTCTCTCTCTCTCTCTCTCTCTCTCTCTCCCCCACACACACACACTCTCTCTCACTCTCACATTTTTAAAAAATAGACCTAGATGGCAAAGTTATGTTAAAACATAGTTTATTATAATAGTTTGAAATTTGTTCTTGTACTAAACAGTTTTACTTGTGAACATCTTATTTTCTACATTCACATTGGGTTTGCGTCACCCATTATCATATTTATAGATATCACCTCTCGGCACACCTCGGCCGATTCATACTGGCAACGGAATCAGCAAAGCTTTGTCGAATGAGATTATTTAGCACATGTATGCTGACGATGCAGTGTGGTCAGTTAAAATCATTTGTGTTTTAATTGGATAATATGGATTATATTTCATGAATTCGTTGTCACGACCTATGACATTCGGTAAGTACAAGATTTAGTATAGATTGCATAAAAATAAATAAATGCACAT